ATAGATAGATAGATAGATAGATAGATAGATAGATAGATAGATAGATATAGACTTATTTACATATATATCCACATGTATGTAAAACCATACTATGAATACTTCTGTTTATCAGTTCTTTCTCTGGAGGTGGGTAGCATCTTCCTTCATAAGTCCTTTGTAGTTAATTTGGATATTTATAATATTCAGAATAGCTTAGTCATTCACAGTTATTTTTTGAACAATATTGCTGTTACAGTATACAACGTTCTCTGTTCTGTTCATTTCATCTTACTATTTCATGTAAGTCTTTCCATGTGTTTCTAAAATCAACCTGCTCATCATTTCTTAACACAATAGTATTCCATCGCAGTCATATACCAGAACTTGTTTAGCCATTCCCCAATTAATGAGCATCCCCTCAATTTCTAGTTCTTTGCCACCATGAAGAGAGCTGTTATATATATTTTAGAACACATAGGTTCTTTTCCTTTTCCCCTAATCACTTTGAGAATCAGACCTAATGGCGGTATTGCTGAGTCAAAGGGTAGGGTATAATTCTAGATTGCTCTCCAAAATGGTTGAATAAGTTCACAGTTCCACCAGCAGCGTATTAGTGTTCTAATTTTTCCATATTCCCTCCAACATTTGTCCTTTTTCCTTTCTATCATTTACCCAATTTGATAGGTATAAGATGATACCCCAAAGTTGTTTTCATTCACATTTCTCTAATCAATATATATCGCACTTTATATCTAGATCATGTATCCATTTTGAACTTATCTTAGTAAATGGTATAAGATATTGGTCTATATCCAGTTTCTGCCAGATTGCTTTCCAATTTTCCCAACAATTTTTACCAGATAGTGAATTAGCATCCCAAAAGCTTAAATCTTAACATTTGTCAAACACAGAATTACCATAATAATTTACTAATGTGTATTGTATGTCTACTCTGTTCCACTGATCTACTTTTGTATTTTGTATTTCCTAGTCACTATCCGGTTGGTTTGATAATTACTGCCTTATAGTACAATTTAAGATCTGGCACTGCTAAACCTCTTTCCTTTACATTTTTTTCATTAATTCTTTAATATTTTTTACCTTTTGTTCTTCCAAATGAATTTTGTTATAATTTTTTCTAGCTCAAAATAATATTTTGGTAATTTAATTGAGATGGTATTGAATAAATAGATAGGTTTAGGTAGAATTGTCATTTTTTTAGCTCTGCCCACCCATGGCCAATGAATATTTCTCCAGTTATTTATTTGTATAAAAAGCGTTTTATAATTATGTTCACGTAGTTCTTGGGTTTGCCTTGGCAGGTATACTCCTGGTTATTTTATGCTATCTGCGGTTCTTTTAACTGGGGTATCTCTTACTATCTCTTCGTGGAGGGTTTTGTTGGTGATATATAGAAATGCTGATGATTTATGTAGGTTTATTTTATATTCTACTACTTTGCTAAAATTATTGTTTCAACTAGCTTTTGAGTTGAATCTCTAGGATTTTCCAAATATATCATCGTATCTGCACAAAGAAATAGTTTTATTATTTTATTATTATTTTATACCTTCAATTTCTTTTTCTTCTCTTATTGCTATTGCTAGCTTTTCTAATACAATATTAAATAATATTGGTTATAGTGGGCATGCTTGTTTCACTCCTGATCTTATTGAATAAGCTTCTAGCTTATCCCTGTTACAAATAATGCTTGTTGATAATCTTAGGTAGATGCTTCTTATTATTTTAAGGAAAAATCCATTTATACCTATGCTTTCCAGTGTTTTTAATAGGAATGAGTGTTGTATTTTGTCAAAAGCTTTTTCTGCATCTGTTGATATAATCAATTATGTTAGTAGTTTTCCTTATGTTAAACCCTCGCTACGTTTCTGGTATAAATCCCATTTGATCACAATGTGTAATCTTTGTGATGTATTGTTGTAGTCTCCTAGCTAGTATTTTATTTAGGATTTGTGTATTCGTATTTATTAGTGACCCTATACACTTGATAAAAGTTCTTTTTTTAAAGTCTTACAAAGTGCTTTGCATGTATGTCATTTGATCCTCATAACAGTCCCCAGAATCTAGTACTCTTGTCACTATAGCACATTGCTCCTGATTACCTCCTGCCTTCTCTGGGAGTTTATTTTTATCTCTTCAGTGTTTTCCTCCTCTACTGGCCAGTCATTTCTCCCTCATACCTGTTCAAGTTTCCCTTATCTTTAAGAGGAAAACAAAAACTATTCTCATACCCTTATTCTTCCTTCTGTCTCTCTCTTTCTAAGCACTTGACTTCTTAAAGAAGTAGTATATACTAGTACTGCTTCTCTAAATTCTCCACCCACTCCTCAGTGCCTTGTAATCTATATATCCCTATGGCTTAGCTGAAACTACTTTCCCAGAGAGCATTATTGACCTCCTCCTTGTTAACTCCAGCGTTTTCTGCTTCTATTTTTCTCAGCCTTTCTGTAGCATTGACATTCTTTGAAATTCTCTTCCTTGGCTTCCTTGGTACAATACTGTTCTGTTTTTTCCCTTGCTTGTCTGACTACTCATTCTCTGCCTCCTTTCACTTCTCTCTTTTTCTCCAGCCCTACAAACATAGGCATTCTCCAAAGTTCTAGATTTGTTCCTCTTCTTTTTTTTTCTTTCTACACTATTACTCTTTGATAAAATGAGATAATTTTTGATGTGCTTTGTAAAACTTAGATTTTGTTAAAATGTCTGCTACTCCACATTTTTTGTAGTAGCAAAGAACTAGAATCAAAATAGATACCTGCATATAGATAGCATGCATCGTCAGTTTACCTCTTAGGCATCTCTATATGTTTGTCCAGTCTTTCAAATTCAGCGTGTTCAAAACTGAATTCTTCCATCATTTCTCTAAAACCTATTCCTCCTTCTTACTTTCTTATTAATATTAAAACCACTACCATTCTTGCCATCATACAAAACATTGGTGTTATTTTTAACTTTACCCTTTCCCTTCATTCTCACATCCAGACAGTTGACAAGTGTTTTGCTTTTACCTCCTTCTTGCTGCCCCAACTTCTTAGCCTTGCATTCCAAAGTCTTTGACAATGTGACTCATATCTTTTCAACATATCACCCATTCATTACTCTCCTATATTTTGTACATTATACACATACTCTACATTTCAGCCAAACTCTGCTACTCACTATTCTTGCGCCCTTTTGTGCTTACCTGCCTTTGATCATGTCCTCTGCCCCAAATGTCTTGCTACTACGGTATATGTCTTCCTTTAGAAAGCTTACTCTTCTTTTATGACCCAGCTCAAAATCCATCTTCTGGAAGCATTTTTGGATTCCTTATAATCATGTGTAACACACACATAGTCCTAAACTCCAGAGTAGTGAAATGAGCCTTATTTAGCTTTGTATTCCCTCTAGTTCGTAGCACAACATCTGAAACACAGTACGTATCAGTATCCTTTGTTAAATTATTGAGTTACACACTAATCTTTTATTAAAAAGAAATATTTGATGATAGATAATGGTGTTGGTAGTGGTTCTGAAAAAAGAAAACATTAACAGCAGAGAAGGGTAGACTCAAATAGTCTTAACTTGTACAGGATTTTTTAAAGTAGCATGCTAGGTAGAAGTGCTTTTAAATATGGCTATTCACACCTGACCTTTTCATTAGTGTTACATACATTTCATTGTAAATGAATTCATAGCTTTGATTTATTAATTGTGTCAGTATTATTTTTAATTTTTTTTCAGATATCCAAGATTGGTGCCTTCTGCTGTGGCCTTAGCTTATGCAATCAGCATACAATCATACTTTATGTGTTGTGCATTGCATTGTGGGTTCTCTTCCGACTTTTTAAAGAAATGGTAGGTGTTTAAACCTTGTAAAATGGTACAGATGAAAAACTTTTTGAGGATCTTATTTGGGCTTAACATGATTATGGGACAGCTAGGTGGTGCAATAGATAGAGCACCAGACCTGGAGTCAGGAAGACTCATCTTCCTGAATTCAAATCTGGCCTCAGACACTTACTAACAAGGTAACCCTGGGTAAGTCACTTAACCCTATTTGCCTCTGTTTCCTCATCTGTAAAATGAGCTGGAGAAGTAAATGACAAGCTACTCCAGTATCTTTACCAAGAAAACCCAAAATGGGGTCACAAAGAACTGAATATAACTAAAAAATGACTGAACAACAACAAAACATAATTTTTCTTAAGAAATCAGAGAACCTGAGTGCATAATCTTTTCCATGGGAACAATAGTCCTGCTCATTTGTGCAAAATGTAAATAACCATAATCCCTGAATATAGCAATTTTTTTAAAAAGGATTTATAAAAATTATACAACATTGGACATACTCCCCAAATAGGTCAAAGACAGAGGGAAAGAGGATCTATTGATATATATATATATATAAATATTTATAATAGCATTCTTTGTTGTACCAAAGAACTGGAAACAAAGTGGTGCCCATCATTTAGGAAGTAGATAAAATAAATTATGATATATGAATGTAATTGGATATTTTTGTGCCATAGGAGATGATAAAAATGATGGCTTCAGAGAAACGTAGAAAGAATTGTCTGAACTGATGCTTAGTGAAGTGAGTAGAACCAAGAATAGAGTTTAAACAGCAATTACAATAATGTAAAGGAAAATGACTTTGAAATATTTAAGAATGCAGATTAATGCAGTAACCAGTTATGACTTCAAAAGACTGATGATGAGGCATGCTTCTCTCTTTGTAGAAGGGCAAGAGACTAGAGATGCAGAATGAGACATGCATTTTCAGACACAGCCGGTCTGCAGATTTGTTTTGCTTGACTCTACTTATTCGTTACAAGAGAAGGCTGAGGGGCAGGGTAGGGAAAGGGGAGGTAGGGAAGGCAGTGTTAGGGGGTAGTGATTATTGTCAATTCATCAAGTATTTATTAAGTACTTGCTATTTGCCATGCTCTATGCTGGGCTCTAGAGATACAAATAGAAAGACTGAAACAATCTCTACTCTTAGTGAGCTTACATTTTAACAGGAGAAAAGCAAAAACACACAATTACACAAAGAATAAATATAAAGAGTAGTCTATATACAAATATAGAGTAGTTTAATACAAAATGTTTTGGGAAAGAGAGTCCCTGTTGGGAGGGTCAGGAAGGACTCCATATAAAAGGTTGTGCCTGAACTATATCTTGAAAGAGGCATTCTTTAAGGCAAAGGTAAGGAGGAAGTACATTACAGGCATGGGAAATGACCAGCGCAAAGGAACAGAGATGGGAGATTGAGATGGAGTATCCTATGAAGAACAGAGAAAAAGTCACTTTGACTAGACTGTAGAGTGCGGAGAGGGAATAATATACTATAAGGCTAGAAATAATTGATTATTTTCCCTACGTTTCTGTTACAAACTCTTGGATCAAAATGGAAGTTGTGGGGGTGGAGCATGTATAGCTTTATTCATGTTTATAGTTGACATTTATAGCCAGCATTTATAGGGTGCTTTTGGGTTTGCAAAGTGCTTTACAAATATTAGCTTATTTTATCCTCATAACATCCTCATTCTATATATGTTACTATTATCCCCATTTTACAGATGAGGAATGAGACAGAAGTTGAGTGATTTGCCCAGTCACACAGCTAGCAAGCATCTGAGTCTACATTTGAACTCAGGTCTTTTTGACTCCAGATCTAGCAGCCTATGAACTACACCATAATGTTATGTATTAGTATTCAGTAATGATATTTTCTCTTTCTGCTTTAATGTAGTCTATCTTTTAAAACAATTTGTATACTTGTTCTTTCCATTTCCTATTGATGCTTTTTATATGGCACCTGAATAATTATAAATATTAAATATTCTTATTAAATTACTTTATTATCTATTTACTTTTTTGACTTTTTGGGGCAGTTTGGCTTTTTCCTTTGGAGGAGGGGGTGTTATAGAATGATCCAGGAGTGTGACTGCAGTAGTGATGAAGCTACCAATTCATATCAGCAATTGTTCTGCAACTTATAATTTTAGAATAGCCTGAGACAATGAGAGATTAAGTGACTTTCCCATGGTCACAAAGTCATTATTTGTCAGAAGCAGGATTTGAACCCAGGTATTTCTGATCTGTGATCAGTTTCTGGGATGGGTGAAGAGTGTAAGGGCGGAGAAGCAGAATCAGACATATTCAGTTATGTTGGTATTGTTGCTTCCATTCCCTTCCTTTCTTTCCCTTTTTCCTTTGTAATTGGAGCAAGGTGGGCAAGAGAGAGAAAAATTTAAGGGAATATGAGAAGAAAAAATATAAATAACAATTGTAACTGTGAATGGGATGCCTCACCTTTTAAATGTATAAGGATAACAGAATGGGCTAGAAAGCAGAATCCAACAATATGTTGTTTACAAGAGAGAGACACACTTGAAACAAAAATACACACACAGACTTGAAATGAGGACCTGGAGTAGAATTTGTGCTTTAGGCAAAATTTAAAAACTAGGCATACTGACCTTCTCAGACAAGGCAGCAAGAAAATCAGACATAGTTGTGGGAGATAAATATAAAAACTACATTGTACTCAAAAGCACCATAAATAATAAAACAATATCATTGCTTCTATATAAATGCATCAAGTGACATGGCATCCAAGCACTTAAAGAAAAAGCTCATCAAATTGCAGGGAAAAAGAGGCAACAAAACTAGAATACTTGGGGACTTCAGTATGACCTTTTCACACCTAAACAAATCTAACAGATAAGAATGAAGTGAATGACGTAAATAAAATTTAAAACAGTTAGATCTGATAGATCTCTATCAATTAATAAAAAAATCAAAGGGAGTATGTATATGTGTGTGTGTGTGTATAGATATAGATATATCTATATCTATATCTATATATACACGTTTCTCAACCTTGCAATTCACATTTACAAAATTGACCATTATGCTGTGGCATAAAAAACTCCTAAAATGTAGAAGAGCAGAAAAGTTAAATACATTCTTTCCTGACTGCAGCTTAATAAGACATATTCAGTAAGGGTCATTTGAAGAAAAGATTCAAATTCAGATGGAGACTAAAAAATATAATCCTAAAGAAATATTTGTGCATCAAACAAAAAAAAATAGAAACAATAAGCAATCGTACCAAAGAAAATGATCACAAATGGAACAGCGTGCCAAAACTTTTTGGATGCAACAAAGGTAGTCCTAAAGAGAAAATATATATATATATAACGAAACACTTTCCTCAGTTGGACTTGCAACTAAAATAAGGGGAAAAAGAGCATCAACAAAATATTTTGATTGATTGATTCTTGATGTTTCACAGAGTCATTAGCTTCTGCTTGTCCAATTCTAATTTTTTCAAAATTATTTTCTTCATTTAGCTTTTGTATCTACTTTTCAATTTGACTAATCCTATTTTTTAAGGAGTTCTTTTCTTCAGTAAATGTTTGTACATCTTTTTCCATGTGGCCAATTCTGCTTTTTAAGGTGTTCTCTTCACTGAATTTTTGTGCCTCTTTTACCATTTGTCCTATTCTGTTTTTTAAGGTGTTATTTTCAGTATTTTTTTTTGTGCTTCTTTTACCAAGATGTTCTCTTTTGTCATGATGTTCTTGCATTGCTGTCATTTCTTTTCCCAATTTTACCTGTACCTCTCTTATTTGATTTTTAAATCCTTTTTCAGATCTTCCAAGACCTGAGACTAATTTGGATTATTCTTTGAGGCTTTGGATGTAGCAGTTTTGACTTTGTTGTCTTCTTCTGAGTTTGTGTTTTTATCTTCCCTGTCACCATAGTAACTTTTTATGGTCAGGATCTTTTTTGTTGTTTACTTATTTTTCCAGCCTATTTTTGAGTTGTACCTTATATTGAAATTGGGCTGTACTCCTGGGCTGGACAGGGCACTGTCCCAAGCTTCAGGTTTTTTGTGCAGCTGTTTTCAGAGCTAGTTCTAGGGGTCTGTAAGCTTTCAGTTCCTCCAAGGTGGTATGATTTAAGGAGAGGTGTATTTACTACTCTCTTGGCCTGTGCTCTGTTATGTGAGCGACCACAAGCACTATTTTTCACCTTGGAACTGTGACCAGGGCCCTCGTTCCCCTATGGACACAAGTTCAGGTGGGCTAGCGCTCCTCGTCACCCTGGGACTATGCTCCAGGACTGCAATGTGCATCTGAATATGAGTAATGCAACAGAGTACTACACCCAGTGCCAGCAAAGGAACCCCTGAAATTTTCAGACAAGTTGTCCCTCCCCTTGCCGTCCGTGGGCTGAGAGCTCTAGAAGTAGCTGCTGTTACCCCCAAGGCTTGCTGCTGGTTTCCTGTGGCACGGCCTGTCCTGACACAGCCTACTGTGGAGTGTGCTCCACTCTCACCTCGGGTGACAGCCCTTTCCTGCAAACCTTCTAGGTGGTCTCAGGTTGGAAATTTGTCTCACCCCATCCTGTGAGTTTTCTGCCACCCTAAATTTTGTTTTGATGCATTATTTAAAGTTGTTTGGAGAGGAATTTGGGAGAGCTCAGGTGAGTCTTTGCCTTTTCTCTGCCATCTTGGCTCTGCCTCCTTCCTTCTCTCTTAAGTGACAGAGGTTGGAAGTAGAAAGAGATCACTGAGTCCTCCATCCTTGCTAGAATTAACATCTCTCACCAGCAGGGTTATTTGAGGCTTTGTCTGAAGGTCTATAGTTTTCTAGATTATTGCCCAGTTTATTTGTTTCCTTATTCACTGCCTGTTCCAGAGGGAAACTATATATTCTGATTGCTAAGTAACTGTTCTTAAAAAATTGGCAGATATTTTGGTAAAGTTGTACTTATACTCCTCATTTAACATTTTATGCGTTTCATTATTGCTATACTAAATGCTTTATTTTCTACTATAGAATATCCATTTGATAATGCTAATGCAATTGTCATTACTTATTCTACTCAGGTGAAATTTGATTGTGAGCTCCTCCATTGTAAGGATTGTCTTTTTTTTTTTTTTGTATCTCTAGTGCTTAGCATAGGGTTGACTACATGGTGTAGTAAATGGAGTGCTGGACCTGGAGTCAGGAAGACCTGGGTTCAAATCTAGCCTCAGGTACTTCCTAGCTGTGTGACCCTGGGCAAGTCACCTAACCCTTTTTGCCTTAATTTCCTCATCGTAAAATGAGCTGGAGAAGAAAATGGCAAACCATTTCAGTAACTTTGCCAAGAAAACCCCAGAACAGGGTCATAAAGATTTGGACACGACTGAAACAAGTGAATAACAACAGCAAAGTGCTTAGCACAGTGCTTGGTACATATCTGGGGCTTAATAAATGCTTATTGACTGAATTTGAGTCTTGAGTTTATTAAATGTAGATGTCCCTCTTTGCCTTAAAGTAAAACCTGACATCTTCCAAAAGAGTCATTATAATTTTTAAAAACATCCAACATTTGAACTTTTCAAATTCACCAGGGGATATAACTCTGAAATCATCTTTGCAAAATCTTGTGGATTTTTTCCTTTATTTTAGAATTTAGTTTGATGAGAAAAAAATATTCTCCAAATTAAGTACAAGAGGTCTTCCATTTTAGAGGGGATAACTTACCAGAAAAAAGCCAATTAAAGTAAATCCATTTGAAGCTTAGATGATTGTTTCATAGAAAGTAGTTTTTAAAATATTTGTTTGGGGCTTTATCTTGAAAAATGAAAATTAATTATTGAAATAGTTTATTTTAGTAAACTTGCGTTTTAAAAAATGAAGCTTACAATTGCAGTTATGCTCTAATTCTTATAGTAAAAATTTTTTGGTGGTGGTGTTTGGTGTGATTTTTGGGGCAAAGTTGTATGATATGACATGCTTCTAGTCTTATCTGATTTTCTCAGCAAGAACATATAGTCATGATTGAAAGATATTTCAGGGCTTCACCAATTTTCCCAATTTGATTCTTTGATATTCAGGTCATTCCTTTTTTATTATTATTATTATTTAAGCCAGAGGCTAACCTAAAAACATTTGGTGAGATTGGCTAGGTTATTAAGCAGGAATATGTGTTTGAATGCAATCATTCCCCTGGAATTTCATCTTTTCCCCTTTTCTACATTTCACTATCCCTTAACATTTCCCCCATCTCCTCCTTTACTCCAGTCTCATGAAGAGGTAGGCAACCCTACTTCTCACCAAGACCAGCTCCTGTTTAAGTACAGTTGATCTTATCTCTTCCAATTCATTAGTCTCATAATTGTTACCCTACATTTCTCTTCAGCTCTCCCTATCTTACAAGTTCCTTTCCTGGTGTTTACAAAAAAGCCCATATTTCCCCATTTTTAAAAAAAGTCTTCTCTAAATTCTACCACCCCTCCCTGCATTTCATTTTATATCTGTCTTCTCTGTTTTAGTCAAACCTCTTATAAAGTCTGTCTATACTCTTCATCTACTCCCTCTCCTCTCACATTTCTAAATTCTTCGTAATTTGGCCTCTGACCTTATTACTATGCAGAAACCACTTTCTCCATAATTATCAATAATCTCTTATTTGCCAAATCTAATGGCCTTTTCTCAGTTCTTTTCTTTCTTGACCTCTCTGTAACACATGACACAGTGACTCCCCTCTCTTTCTGGGTAATTTCTCCTCTCTGGATTTTCTCAACACTGTTCCTTCCAAGTTCTTCCTATCCCTTGACTGCATCATTAACTATCACATGCTCCCTAACTGGGTGTATCTCAGGGCTATGTTCTGATGCTTCTCATTTCTTTCCAATCTTATTTGATGCGCTCCCACAGATTGAATCATCATTTCTATGCAGATGACTCCTAGATCTCTATATCTAGCCATAGTCTGTCTCTGAGATACTGTCCTTTTACTGGATATTTCAAACTAGATATCCTATAGGCATCTCATACATAAAATTTACAAATCAGAATTCACTGTCTTTTCTCAAACCCACCTGTTCTCCATACTTTCCTGTTAAGGGAACCACCACTCCTTAAGGCCCTCATCACCTCTAGCCTAGGTTATCATGAATAGCCTCCTAAGTGGTCTTCCTGCCTTAAGTCTCTCTCCTCTCCAATTCATTCTCCACGTAGCTGCCAATGTGATTTTTCTTAAAATAGTCACACACACACACACACACACACACACACACACACACACACACTCTCTTAAGAAACTCTGGTGGTTCCTTGTAACCTTTAGAATCAAATATCCTTGACATTTAAGGCTCTTCATAACTTTCCTTCTTATTCATTCATTATTCCCTCTTTGTTTTCTATAGTCCAGAATTTCATACTATTCCTCACACGTGACATTCCATCTCTTTTCTCCATGTCTTTGCACTGGCTATTTCCCATGCCAGGAATACACTTTCTCCCCACTTCAGCTCCTTGGAATCTCTGGTTTTCTTCAAGACTCACCTGAAATGCCTTCTTCTACAAGAGGCTTTTCTTAGCCCCTTCGGCTTCTAGTGTCTTCTCCACCAAGGTTACTTTATATCTGTTTTGTATATGTTTAATAATACCTAGGTATATTCATGTTATCTCCTTCTTTAGAATATAAGTTCTTTGAGGACAGGGACTGTTTTGCTTTTGTCCTTGTAAATGTGACTGGCACGTAGCTTTAAGCTCTTAATGAATGAATGTGCATTATTGACAAATTTTCTAAGTGGTTCATTAGTATGACTTCTGCTTCCCAATGTGATTTCAAGTGGAGGCATCGTGGTGTAGTTAGGTAGTTAGCCAGCCCCAGAATCGAGAAGACTCTTTTTTTTTTTTTGGTGAGGTAATCAGGGTTAAGTGACTTGCCCAAGGTCACACAGCTAGTACGTGTCAAGTGTTTGGTTTGAGGCCGAATTTGAACTCAGGTCCTCCTGACTTCAGGGCCGGTGCTCTATCCACTGCGCCACCTAGCTGCCCCGTTCAAGAAGATTCTTGACTCCAGCCCTGCCACTGATGCATACTGTCTATGTGACTTTGGGCAAAGCTCCAGGCAACTCTCCTAGATTTTAAGTTACAGAATAGTTACTGATCTGCATTGGTAGAGGGATTTTTACCGCTGTGTAGTTCCCTGTAGAGGTCATTGCAATCACAGTCCTGAAACAAAAAAAGTAGTGTCTGAAGACTCAGATAATAGTGAGATAATGAGAGCCCCATATGTGTATGTGTATATCTCAAGAAAAAGCTTAAAATTTTACTTTAATACCCTGTAGTGCATATTCTACATTATGTATTGTAATCAAGAAGAGTTATTTTTAAATATTAAAGAACATTTCAAAACAATAGTATAATGTAAAGACTATTATCCACTCTGCCATTTTAATAAAACATCTAAAATAGCTACCCAAGAAATACTTGCAGCGGTATTCCATGTTATATGTTATATAATCGTGATAGAGACAATGAACCAAGTCTGCTGCTGATGATGACAGGAAAGTATACCAACATTGGAAGGACATTTTCTGGCATATGCAACACAAGCCAACAACACTTAATCACTTCAAAGTGGGTTATCTCAGCTTTGCAGGGCTTCAGCCATCTATATATGTCATGACATGATTTAAATGTAAAAAATGCAACGAATATGATACTCATGAGTCTTTCCTAATGTCATTTGCTTCACTCAAAATTCACCTGGCCGTGCAGAGAAGAGAAGATCAGGCTGATGAAATTTTCTTAGTAATCCATAGTAATCGGAAGGTTTAACGAAGTATTTTGTGGTAGCTTACTATAAATTGAGAGATCAGCTTTGTGAATATATTTCATGGTTTTCTTGGTGTGTCTCAAAGTTCCAAATAATTAAACTAAAATAAGTATTGTAATACGATCTTATATGTTTTGACACAGGAGCTTTCCCTAGGCCATTTGCTAATGCTGAGTCTCTTCTTCTGTGCTGGTTTTCTGCCTTATCTCTACCTGCCTGTCTCATCCTACCTCAATCAAGCTCGTTGGACCTGGGGAGACCAGACTACATTTTCAGGATTTCTGACACATTTTCTTAGGGAAGAGTATGGAACATTCAACCTAGTAAGTTTATTTTTCAATCCTTTTAAAATGAAATTTATAAGAAAATTTCCTTCAGTTTTCTTCCTGGGCAATTATTAGAAAAATTATGTTATTTAGACTTTTCATCTTAGTTATTTATATGACAAACTTTTCCTTGGGATGTGCCTTTGAGGATGCCTTAGAAAGTGTTGGAATCATTTAATCCACCTTTTTTTTGTTATTGAGGTAGGATAATATTCTTTTCAGATAACAAGCATTAAAAAGACTTTGCTGCATACAGTGGAAACAACATTTCAATAATTTTAGCAGTAGGTGTCACTGTGAGCATTGGGTTTATGAATAAAAACTATTAGAGGAAAGTTGAAGAATGAATCCAATATTTTTGGTTGCCCTGGTTGAATTATGATCATTCACAATTTTGTTATACACTCTAAGTGGTTAATATTCAGTCTAAGACTAGATAAGTTTTTTTGAAAGAAGTTAGATGTGTGTGTGTGTGTGTGTGTGTGTGTGTGTGTGTGTGTGCGCGCGCACGTGCATAGTCACTGTTTGGAGAAAATGTACTTCTGAATGATTTTAAAGGTCTTAGTTTCAGGAAGATAACTATAAACATGCACCATATATAAATTAGAGAGTGAGAAAAAACACAATCTGCTATAATATGTTTGGTATATGAAAAATGGAAGAACAATCAGTAGTCTTATTAAGAGACTATTTTGATTAGGATGGTTAGGATAATAATTTATTAATTCCCTATGCCATGGTCAATATATGGAAATGTCATTATATGAAGTAGTGCTAATTGTATGAAAATGTTAATTGAGATTCAAGAGCAACTTGGAAATAGAGAATGAAATTCACTTATCGCTTATGAAATTAGTAATTATGTACCAATAAGCATAATAGGACCAAAGATTGACATACAGATGATTGGAATTGTCTATAAAGCTGTAGAGCTAACTAATGAAATTGTTAATTAACTCTTCCTTCTGGAAACATTATTTCAGTTGGTGTTTAGCTTATGATCTAAATCATAGAAACATAGATTTACAGCTGAAAGGTACCTTGAAGGTCATTTATTTCAACCCCCTTACTTTAAAGACGTGGACTTGCCCAAGGTCACACAAATAATAGTGCCAGACTGGTATTCAAAGCCTGGTGCTTTGACCATTATTTTTTGGAGTTCTTTTTTAAAACATTATGGCAGCTTATACTACCTTATCTATTTTCTTTTAAAAATGCTTTCTTAAGATTCTGAAACAATGATTTTGAAAAATAAAATGTATTATATATTCTAAATGTATTCTTAAATTCAAAAAACTAAAATATACTATGATTTAATTCTTGTATGCATCATTGAGTGTAACTATTTCTCTTTTATGACCAGGCCAAATCTGAGATAGGATCCAGTATGTCTGAAATATTGCTGTGAGTAAAAAATATGTGGAACAACTTTTAAATGCGTTTTCTGTTACTAGAATTTATTTTTCAGAACTTGTAAGGATTGTTGGTTTTCCTCTGAGGAAATAGCATCCAACTCTGATAATGTGTTTCTACCTTTGTTTTTTTCTTTATATACTGATACTTGTTCTTGAATAGAAAACAAAACGTCGAATGCAGGCAAATATTGTCTGAGAGTTGTATACTAAAACATGACATTTCTGTTTGCTGTAAGATCACCCAAAACAGAATTTTTAGAAATAACTTATTCTTTGTCCTAGATTTTTGGTAATAATCTTTCTTTAGAAATTATTATTTAAACATTTTATCTACCCAAAATTTGAACAAATGTTTTCACATAATTCATATAATGAACTAAGATATTTTGATTCTTCAGAGATTCATTTATTTAGGATTTCAAATTTTTTTAAGCTGTCATTGTAGTATATGTCCAAGTAGAAAAAATTCTTCTTGACTTCTATATTGATTAATATCACTCTACAGAGGCAGCATGATGTAGTTCAGAGGTGTCAAACACATGGCTAGCAGGTTCTGCAACACTCCTGACTGTGGCCAAACCAGATTAAAATGCAATTAGTTAATGTTTAACAAAATAAATAAATATATATTACAACATAGATAAGGTTAATTTGTGGTTTTCTAAGTCACTACATGGCCACCAGGGATCCTTATGGAAGGTTTAGTGGCCTGCATTTCTCTTTCAATTTGACACCACTGGTATAGTGGATAGGGAGCTAATCAATTGGGTTCATGTGCCACCATGGACTCATACTGGCTTTGTGACTGGGCAAGTTCCTTTACTTCTCAGTGACCCAGGCAGAACTCTTAAGACTATAAATTAAAGAGCAAATGCTAATCTACATTGGTAGAGGGAATTTCCTCATCTGTAGTTCTCTGTATCTGTGAAATCAAAGGTCCAGTCAAAATCACCCTAATAAGAACCTAATTGCAATTGAACCACTTAACAATTTATTTTTTCAACAAGTAATATGACTTGCTAAATCTTAAGTAATGGTACTTGAAAGGGTGATTTGCTGAAGAATAGACAAATTGAGACTGACTGAAATCTGTCTTGCCCTACAGGGAAGTAGGAGGGGAAGGAGATGGGGAGACTGATAGAAGGGACTTGTGGATTGGAGGAGGCAGTTGTCAGAAGCAAAACACTTTTTTTTTAATGGTAATTTTTATTTATTTTTTTGTTTTCAACATTTACTTCCACAAGATTTTGAGTTCCAAATTTTCACCCCATCTCACCCCTCCCCCCACCCCAAGATGGCACACATTCTAAATACCCCTTCCCCTAGTCTGCCTTCCCTTCTATCTCTCCCCCCCTTCTCTGATCCCCTCCCCTTCAATTTTCCTGTAGGGCAGGATGGATTTCTGTACCCCATTTCCTGTATTTCTTATTTCCCAGTTGCATGTGGAAACATTTTTTTAAACGTGTTTTTAAAACTTTGGGTTCCAAATTTTCTCCCTTCCTCCCTCCCCACCCACCCTCATTGAAAAGGTAAGCAACTAGATATAGGTTATATATGTGCAGTGATGCAAAACACTTCCATAATAGACATGCTGTGAAAAACTAACTCTATTTCCCTTAATCCTATCCCGTGCACCCATTTATTCTATTCTTTCTTTTGACCCTGTCCCTCCTCAGAAGTATTTGCTTCTGATTACCCCCTTTCCCAATCTACCCTCTTCTCTATCATCCCCCTACTCTCTTGTCCCCTTCCCCCCCATTTTCCTGTAGGATAAGACAGATTTCCACACCCAAATGAGTGTGTATGTTATTCCCCCCTTAAGTCAAATCCTATGAGAATAAGATTCACTCATTCCCTCTCACTTTCCCCCGTTTCCCCTCCACTGTAAGAGCCTTTTCTTTTCTGTTGTTTTTCTTTTTTGTGGGATAATTTACCCCGTTCTACCTCTCCTTTTCTCCTTCTCCTAGTATATTCCTCTCTCACCCCTTAATTTTATTCTCCAGATATGACCCTTTCATCTTCAACTCACCCTGTGCCCTCTATCTATCTATATATACATACATATAATTTTTTCTCTTCAACTACCCTAATACTGACAAAGGTCTCATGAGTTACAAATATCATCTTTCCATGCACGAATGTAAACAGTTCAACCTTAATAAGTCTCTTATGATTTTCTCTTTCCTGTTTACCTCTTCATGTTCCACTTGAGTCTTGTATTTGAAAATCAAATTTCTATTCAACTCTGGTCTTTTCATCAAGAATGCTTGAAAGTCCTCTATTTCACTGAATGACCATTTTTTCCCCTGCGGGATTATACTCAGTTTTGCTGGGTAGGTGATTCTTGGTTGTAATCTTATCTCCTTTGCTCTCCAGAATATTATATTCCATGCCCTGCGGTTCCTTAATATAGAAGCAGCTAAATCTTGTGTTATCCTGATTGTGTTTCCACGATACTTGAATTGTTTCTTTCTGGCTGCTTGTAATATTTTCTCCTTGACCTGGGAACTCTGGAATTTGGCTACAATATTCCTAGTAGTTGAAGCAAAACACTTTTGAGAACAATCAAGGTGAAAGGTAGGATAGAGGGAAATACACAGTAATTGTAACTGTGAAAAAAATTTTACAGCAAGTTTTTCTGATAAAGTCCTAATTTCTCATATAGAGAACTGAGTCAAATTTAAGAATGCAAGTCATTCCCCAGTTGGTAAATGGTCACGGGATAAGAACAGACAGTTTTCAGAAGAAATTAAAACTATCTACAGTCATATGAAAAAAATGCTCTAAATCACTATTGATTAGAGAAATACTAGCATTTAAAAATAACCCCAAAGGGGCAGCTAGATGGCACAGTGGATAGAGCACTGGCCCTGAAGTCAGGAGGACCTGAGTTCATATCCTGCTTCAGACACATAACACTTAGTACCTGTGTGAGCCTGGGCAAGTCACTTAACCTCAATTGCCTCACCAAAAAGCAAAATAATAATAATAATAATAATAATAATAACACCACCAAGGTACCACCTCACACCTATCAGATGGGCAAATATAACAGAAAAGAAAAATAACAAATGTTGGAGGGGATATGGGAAAATTGGGACACTAATATATTGTTGATGGAGTTGTGAACTGATCTAACTATTCTGGAGAGCAGTTTTGAACAATGCCCAAGGGACTATAAAACTGTGAATACCCTTTGATCCAGCAATACTACTTCTAGGTCTGTATCCGAAAGAGATTTTTAAAAAAGGAAAAGGAAAAGGACCTCTGTACAAAAATATTCTACTTGTGGTGGCAAAAAATTGGAAATTGATAAGATGCCCATCTATTGAAGAATAGCTGAAGAAGTTGTGGTATATGATTGTGATGGAATACTGTTGTGCTAGAAGAAATGACAAGCAGGATGGTTACAGGAAAACCTGCAAAGACATATGTGAACTGATTCAAAGTGAAGTGAGTGGAACCAGAACATTGTACACAATAACAGCAATAATGTATAGTAATCAATTATTGTGAATGACTTAGTTTTTCTCAATAATACGGTGATCCAAGACAGTTCCAAAGGACTTATGATAAAAAGTGCTATGCACCTCCAGAGAAAGAACTGATGGAATCTGAATGCAGATCTAAGCATACTTTTTTTAACTTTATTTTTCCTTTATTTTTTTTTTTGGTCTGTGTTTTCTTTAACAGCACGACTAATATGGAAATATATTTTGCATGACTGAACAGGTATAACATATCAACTTGCTTGCCTTCTCAAAGAAGAAGAGGGAAGGGAGGGAGGAAGAGAGGGTGGAACTCAAAATTTTTAAAAATGAATTAAGATTTTTTACATGTAATTGGAAAAAATAAAATATTTAAAAGGAAAAATAATTAGGATGATTAACCAGATAAAAAAAGTTCCTATCTGCTTTTATTGCTTTAACGGAACTATGAAATCTCCTAATAGTATCATTAATTAAAAATATAAGGAAATATGTCTTTAATGAAAGAGAAGAGGAAAAAAAGTAGCTCATCATTACTAGTAGTCATTTCTGTATATTATTTGTTTAGAGGCAAAGGACTTTAGAGTTTGAAGGGACTTTAGATATCTTTAAATCATCTATTTGCTCTTGATCCATTATTTGTTCATTCTTTCATTTAATAAACACTTAGTAGTACCTACTGTACACAAAGCACTCTCCCAGGTGTGAAGGTTGATGCAAAGATACATTTTGTGTGATCCGTGCCCTAAAGAAGTTTATAGTTTTATAGATTAAGTGACTCCACTTAATCGTAAAGGTACTCTACCTTGAGTCCCAGTTTCTTCTAAATACTTCCCTTATTTTGACTAATTTTTGAGAACTTCTTTTCACTTCTTTTTTTCTTGTTTACCCATTCATTATACTATAAATATTATGTCTTTATTCTCCTAATGGCTCAGTTACTTTACTTTTCATTCTTTGTTAGTCTGTCTCATAAAAATTGGCAGTCTCTGTGCTCTTCCACTTTTTTTCTTCACCTTAGTTATATGATATTTGGAAATAAAAACATATGGGCTTGGAGGATCATTACATGAATTACAAAGAATATAGCATAACATTGGATAGTGCAGTTAACTCTTAGGACTACAGTATGGTAATATGTTAAGAGTGAGTACTTAAATCCGTCTTAGTAGAAAGAAAAAAAAATCTTATACTTAAAAAGAAACTTCAAGAAGATGACTACGTGTATAAAAATAGTTACCTGAAATAAAACAAAGATAAAGGATAATGAAGGTCTAGTGCATTTATTGATTGGTTGAGTTAAAAAAAAAAGAATTCTGGGTACTAAATGTTTCATATGAATAGCAGTATTGAGGGGGAGCCTTCTAATAACATAAGAGAAAAATCCTTCATTTTGATAGAATTTAATCATACATCCTCTTCTAGTCAAGCAAATTTTATTCCTTCCCAATTCATATCTCTAAATTGCAATCCTTGACAAGGAAATTACTGAACCTAATGATCATCTTTCAGAACTTACATTTAAGCAACAGTTCTTCAGAAATTTATTTTGGAAACTTGACCCCATTTTTTTTGAAGAATAGTTTGAAATGAGTCTCATGATGGAATCAAAATAATCATATCTTCTTATGGTAGATGAGTGTCCTTTAGTAAAGCACATAGTGTGTGGATGCCATAATTATTTCTTGCTTTTTTCCCTTGTGAAATTGGTGTCAGAGAGAGATCACTTTAAGCCGAAGGATATTATCTACTGTTTTAAGTATAAGAAGTTCCCTAGAGCAAGCAACTATAGATGTCACCTGGTATGGATAGTAGCTGTGTGTTTTTTAGTTGGTAAAATAATTCGGGCCTAAAAGAATCATTCTATTTATCTAAGATTTACTAAATAATGCATGCATGAGACGAAATTGATGTAAAAGAAAGCATCTTTTGAGAGAAATGACTGGGGAGTAGGTGGGAGGCAGGGTAAATGGAGATCTCCGTTTTTGCTGCATTTCTATTAAGTCTGGCAAGTAGATGTTCTCTAGAAGGACCTCCAGAAGCTATTATTGCTTTCAGCATTTTAATTCATTTAGACAGTGTCTACCTCTGTATTAACATGAAGTTCCAAGAAACATTTTAACCATAACTTTTGGTGCATCCAGTTAGTATGATCTGAATGAACTACAGAGGTATGGTCAACAGAGACCTGTTACAAACCTTTGATATGATTTCACTCCTTGGTTGACAAGCTGATAATTGAACAATAGTCAATTTTTGGAACTCTTCTGGAAGAGAGAGAGAGAGAGAGAGAGAGAGAGAGAGAGAGAGAGAGAAGAAATAACCTGAGTTTAACTTTGTCGTGTTCTTATATGTGGTCTTTTTTTTGTCCTAAAACTTAGTTTTTAAAATTTAAAAAAATAACTTATTCTACTATTATTCTGACTGTAGTGTATGTTCTGGATTTCATCAGAAATTTCATGTTTATGAAAAAATGCTTGATTTAGAATTTGAAATTATTTAAAATTTAAAAATTTTTTGCTTTCTGACTAATGAAAATGATAAATTAGATGTTTACTTTTTAGTTTTCAGATGGCAAATATGAAGGTTGAATTATCAATTAATGTTCAAGTCCTTGCAGTTGTTGCTTGTTTATGTTTAGCAAGACAGTAAGTAATATCTCTACTTTTGCTGTGTTTTTTTTCCTATTAAGTAAATGAATTTTTATTGTGTTGGTACATAATTACATTCTGAGAAACCTAATGTCACTATTTCTGCTTGTCAAATTTGCACACTTTGTGAATGCTATATGATTTCCAGATTACAAAAGAACGTTGAAAAATTGAATTGAATAATGTTCCTTTTCAGAATAACCAAATGAATCTTTTGATAGTCTTAAACTTTTAAAGCATTTGTACTACTCATCGTATAAAATAACTTATTTAGACACCAGTTGAAGTTGAATATAGGCAGTCCACAATTTACATTCACCTGACTTGTTATGTGTACATTTCTTACACATGACTAGCCAGTTGAAGGAATTCCTTTAGCTTTTTAGTACTACTGGAGATTTTGTTTCTTCTCCTCTGATACCTTATTTTCCCTTCCTCATATGCCATTTGCTGCTTGGGAGTGCCTACCAAATCAGGACTAATGGTGGGAAGTGAGGGGATCTCCTTCAGTAGGTCCATTCTGTAACTAACTCTGCCTCCATTTCATCTATTCAGAAAGTAATGCCATTTGCTGTTCCCTAAGAACTCTGCCTCAGTTTTAAATGAGGAAATAATTATTATTTTCCTCTGAAATGTAAACAAATCTTTTTTTTTCTTTTTCTTTTTTTCTTTTTTGTAGCTAGTCATTGGGGTTAAGTGACTTGCCCAGGGTCACACAGCTAGTAAGTGTTACATGTCTGAGGCCGGATTTGAACTCAGGTCCTCCTGAATCCAGGGCCAGTGCTCTATCCACTGCACCAACTAGCTGCCTCTAGACAAATCTTTCTTGGGCCTGATTTATACAAAGATCTACCAAAAACCATCTATTGGTATTTTTAAAAGTTCCCTTAAATTTTTGTAATGATTACTTTTTATTTTAAATCCATAATAAAAAAAATGCATTATGTCTTGCAGGGGCAAACAAAACCCACCATTGGTGTGGCTTTTTGTTGGAATGCTTTGTGTTTATTCATTGTTCTTTGCTTGGAGAGCAAATTTAGACATTTCAAAACCTCTTTTCATGGGTGTGGTAAGTTTCACACAGTTATTGCCCTTCATCTAGACTTTTTTAAGACTTCACCTTATTATTTTATAAACATTTTAGAAATAAAAATAGTTATGAGAATGCAAAATTAGAATTATGGCCTTTTAAAAAATCCATCAGTTGATTAACAGCAGGTAAATGATAAAAATAAATTCAAGGTGGTTTTCATTTAGTCATCTACTACTATCCCTCCTGCTTTGTTCCTGTTTAAAATATAATTATTTCCATGATATGAAATCTATCTGTGTCAGGTGGCCCCTCCTGAATGCATTGTTCAGCCTAGAGATCGAACTGGAGATTGGAATTGTATATAATTCTCACTTCATTTCTCTTCCATCTGCATGAGCAGAAAATTTCAAGCTTCTCTTTATCCTTTGCTTTCTTCTCCTTTCTCTTCATACTCTCTCACTTGGTAACTCTTCAGCTCTGGGGGGTTTAATTATCATCCCAATGCAGATAACTTCCAGATCTATGCCTTCAATCCAAACTCTCCTGAGCTCCATTTCTATACCACCAGCTGTGTAGTGGATTGTTGTACTGGATGTCCCATGTATAGACATTTTAAACTCAGTAGGTCCAAAGCAAGAACTTATCATCTTTCCTCTCAAAACCTCTCTTGAACTCACCTGTTTCTGTCAAAGGCACCACACCACCATCCTTAGAGTCACTCGGGTCTGCAACCTTGATGTTATCTTTGACTCCTCACTTTCCCTTCGTTCATGGGTCATTTGATTTCCAAATCTTCTCATTTCTACCCGTACCACTTCTCTCACATCTGAATCCTTCTCACTTACATATCCACTACCTGATTTCAGTCAATCAGTCATTAAAGTTAAGTGCCCACTATATGCTAGGCACTGTGCAAGGCTCTAGGGATACAGTTTTTTTGTAATTGGATAGGAAAGTTATAGGGGTAGTGGGGAATAAGTCAGAGTAATTAGTTGGAAAGACCTATGTGTTAGCAAATTAACTGTGGCAATAGTAATTAGTTCTCAGGGGAAACCATTTGAAGATGTTTGCTTTTATAGTACAAGTACATACACTAGTCTGCTAAACACATCGTGTTTATTCCATGCTTCCCAGGTAGAACGCTTCTGGATGCAGAGCAATGCAGTGGTGACCGTTCTAGCTGGGCTGGGCTTGGCCTCATTCTCTTCTCTGAGTAGGAGGATGCTGAGCAGCAGCTCTATATTCCAGTTTCTGGAATGGCTTTCAGCGGCCATTTTCGTACTCTACCAAATTTATTCTAATTACAGGTAATAAATTAAGAGGCATTTTTAGAAAGAGAAAGTCACTGATGTTTCATTCTTTATTTGCACAGATTCATGAAGGACCCAAGTGCCATAGCTTGATCTTATGTAATCCCTCTGCACTGTTTGTCATCCTTCAGAACCCCCATTTCTTTTACTTAGGACATAGCGATGTAAATTTTTTGCTATTGGCACAATTTCTTTTAAGAACCCCCAAAGGAAGACTGTGGTTTTGGGAGAAACAGTGTGAAAAACATAGGTCAGACATAGAGGATTTTAAATATTTTGGGTTTTGTTCTCCATTTGTCCACGACATGTTATATGCCCAAAATACCACGTGCTTCAGCCTACTCATCTTCTACATATGTACAGTAATGCTTTTCCTTCTCTTACTCTGTAGTGGTATATTAATTATTTAATCAATAACATTTCTGAAGTGTCTTCATAGGCTTATAGGATCATAAATTTAGAACTGGAAGGGATCTTAAAGGTTATCAAGTCCAACCCACTCCCATTAACAGACAAAGAAACCGAATTCTACAGAGTTCAAAATGATTTGCCCCAACGTCACGCGGGTCGTAAGTGGGAGAGCCAGCATCCCAAGCCAGGTCCAGTGACCTTTTTTACTGAATCGTGTTACCACTCTTCAGCTAAGGAACTATGCAAATATTAGGATTTTAGCTATTGTATTTTATATCTTTGGTCAATCAACAAGCATCTATTTATAAAGCACTTATATGTGCTAGGCATTGTGCTAAGTGCTGGGTATATAAAGAAAGAAAAACATGGTCCCTGCCTCCTTGAGGGCAGGGACTGTCTTTTGCTTCTTTTTATATCCCTAGTTCTTAGCACAATGCCTGGCCTATAATAGGCTCTTAATAAATGTTTATTGATTGATTAATTGTACAGTCTTATGGCAGAGACAACATATAATAATTAGGTACATATAAGATACATACATTGTGGCATAAAGGTAATGTGAAAGAGGAAGGCATTAGCAGCTTAGAGGGAGGGAGAAAACTAAGAAAAGCTTCCTGTAGAAAAGTTAGGATTTGAGCTGAGTCTTGAAGGATGTCAAGAAAGCCAGGAGGCAGAGGTGAGGATGAAGAACATTCCAGACAGCCAGTAAAAAGGTGTAGAAATGAGAGGTGAGTATTGTGTTTAAGGAGCTGTAAGTAGGCCAATGTGGCAGGATTGTAAAGTATATAGAAAGGAATAAAATGTAAGAAAGCTAAAAGGTAGGAAAGGGCCAGGTCACGAAGAACTTTAAAGGCCAGGATGTTTAGATAGGGCAGGAACCAAGACAGCTGGAAAGGTGTGATATCTATGACAAGGCATTCCTTTATAGTTCTTGAAATCTGCTTTGGAGTAAGAGATAGGCCAGCCTTTGCATAAAGTATCAAAAATGTGTGGGGATTTAAAATGGAAACCGTAGATGCTTTATCAAAACAGCAATTAACTAGAAATATGGTTTTGTTTACAGATGTATTTGTTTGCTTTATAGCACTACACTGGTTATTCATTAGTTATTTTAAAGGATGAAAATTAAATGCTATATTTCTTATTAAGTGTAATGAAATGAGTATTAATTACAAGTAAGGATTCATTTGCTCCATTTTTTGGCAGTGCTTCAACTCATCCTTTTTTTGTTGTTGTTTTCATAGAAAGCTTTCAGAATTCATGCCAATTTTTCAAGTTCTAGGAAAGTTGACTTCATGATTAAAGAGTCATATTGCTGTTATGTGCAACTGCAAATACTTACCATATTAATAAAGGCAAAATAAAGTCTATGCTCATTACTTCTTATCTTTCTCTTTATTAGACTCTATTCCCTTTGGTCTCTTCCTGAACAGTTGAGAAAGGGGAATGAAGGGAGCTTATGGTTCAAGGAACTGTTCAGATTTGCCATTTGGGGGAAGAGTTCATAGGGATATCGAATTTTTAATTAAAAAGAATAAGGAAATTTCATTTTAATTTTGAACATTCCCTGTGAAATAAATGGGAATTATGTAGAACTATCCAAAATTCCAAATGTAATTGGAAACCTTATTTTAATCAATGTTGCCGTCTCTTAGGAATTAACCCATTCTCTTGCTTTCAAAGAGTTAATATACCTTCAAAGATGAAGCAGTAGACTCTTTTTAATCACAGAACTTGGTCCCTTCCTCTCCATCTTTTCAAATGGTATTATTCTAAATTTGGATATCATCTCCACATTGGATGATTAATGTTAGAATACTTTATGTGGATTATATAGAGAAAGGGGAAGTGAGTGTCATGTTATAACTGTAGTAAAGAATATTTTAAAAGACATTTTGTCCTTTTTATTTAGCATTTGTGACCAAAGCACTAACTACGTCATTGATAAATTTGCAAAGAACCTTCTGTTCTCTATGCCTCATGATGCAATCATCTTACTCAGAGGAGATTTGCCAGGGAATTCTCTTCGTTATTTGCATTACTGTGAGGGTCTGAGGCCTGATGTTTCATTGGTGGATCAGGAAGTAAGTATGCTAAAAATATACTAAGTATATTATAATTTTAATTTTTAAAAATTCACACAGGTTTTATTTTTGTGAAGATATAATTTTCATGACCAAAGTAATAATCAGAATGTGACTTCATATTCCTCTGGTTCTTTTGACCATTCAAACAGGTTAATAAGATTTCCTTCCTGCTTATCCTGAAGGTATTAAGAATTGATGAGCTTAATTTTAGATTTATAATAAAATCCTAGGATGACATAGTATAAACCATGAAAAATTTTCAATGTATAAGCAAGTTTATTTTTAAAACATTTATTGTAAGTAGTGATATCTGAACCGTGCAAACAAGCATTGCTCACAAGCTTAGGGATTAAAAGAAATTATGATGATCCTACAAGAGATAATTTTGTCAGCAAATAAAAATTTCACTAAAAATTAAAATTATGTTACTGTAGAATTTATGAGTTTGTCACTCGTTTTTCTTGGGGAAGACTTGTGAAAATTTCTTATTCCATTAAAATAATTTTGTGAACCTGAAAATATTTTTAACTAGTAGACACAAGGATAAGAATGCTTAACTCTTCTATCAATTCATCAGCAGGCATGTATTAAGCTCGTACTGTGTGCCAGGCACTGGGGTTACAAAAATGAAATGAAACTGCCCGTGCCCTAGAGAAGAGAGAGATAACATGGACATAAAGAAGTAGATATTGGTGTTATGAGAGGTACTGTTAGGATTGGAAAAAAGAAATTGTTCTTATTTTTAAGGTGCCTCATTAAGAGTTGAGCAGGATAAGTACTTAACTGAATGAATGAAGATTCATGACCATTTTTAGAAGATATTATACTTTCATATGATTTTGCAAAGATATGTACATTTAAAAATTTTTTCCACCTGTCTTGTTTGGGTTCAGGCCAACCTGAGTTCCAGTCTGTGGTTTTATCCTGGCAATATGAACTTCCCAGATTATTCTTTAGGAATATACTAGATAGTATGATCATTATCAGTATTAGTGAAGACATAAAACTCAACTTAGGTCAGTAGAAACATGAAGACTATTATATTCTTACTTGTGTCTCCCTAGACCTTTCAGTGTGAACAAATGAATTTTATGCAGTTCCATTTTTATAGTCTATAAATTGTGTTTGTTCATTTGATTTCTTTTTAGAAACGTGAAATTAAGTGTGAAGTTATTTTGATTTTTCTGGCAGATGTTGACTTATGAGTGGTATTTACCTAAGATGGCTAAGCATTTACCAGGTATCTACTTTCCTGGGAACCGGTGGAATCCTGTGGAAGGAATATTACCTAGTGGAATGGTCATGTTTAATCTTTATCATTTCCTCAAAGTAAATAAACAGTAAGCATTCTTTTCATGTAATAGCTTTTCTAAAATCTTTAAGCTTTTCAAAAATTGTTTATGTAGCAGCTGTGCCTCATCCAAAAGAACAATTTTCTACACCGATTTCCCCGTCACTGGTGAGATTATCTTTGTAATTAAATTGAATATCTATGCAGAAATAAGGGTAGGCAGAAATAAATGTTATTTTTCCAAGTGAAGTAAAAATAAAGACAGATTAGCAAGAATGGCATATGAGATCTTAGCACAATTCAGGGAAATTAGAGATGTGCCTGCCTACTTGAAATCTTTGCGGGTGGATAGCAAACAATTAGTTTCCCATTGATGAACACCATGGCCACCTTTTTGATGTAAAGCAAATGTTTTCCAGGAATAATCACCACACAAAAATAGCCCAAGATTTTTAAAAATAAGATGAAGCATTTTTATGACTTAAGAAACACCTACAGTTGTACTAGCTGAAAGAAATTATGAGAGTTGTCAATCCCCATACTTCTAGGCATATAGTTTTTGCTAACTAAGATCAATGGTATTGTATGTTTGTCCTTTTTTTGGAAGACTGAATTTTGTCTGTACCTGGATGTGGAAACTTAAGTGGACTGTTGATTTACTTAAGCATGTCTTTTCTGTAAAGGAATCCCTTGCAGTTTTCAGAGTAAAGTAGATGAAAGCAAAGTGATGCAGTGTTTTGGATACTCAAAACCTTAATAAAACTTTGTAGTAATTATTATCAATAATAGCTAATTAATAATATTGATGAGAACAAAAGGTATTAAATGAACATCTGCAAGGAATAAATGTTCTATAAGAGTAGTGTTTAATATTTTCTAGTTTTAAAGATCAGGAACCATGACAGTATCAAATTTAGGCAATGGTTGCTATCTTTTGTTCTTAGATTAGGAACTAAAAGGAACTACAGCAAATATATTGCTATTATATCTTTGAATGATTTTATATCAAAAGTTTTGCTAGAAAATCATGATCCAATAAATATTGGATTAAACTAGCATTTTTAAAAGTTTATTTCTGTAGAACCTAGCTTAAAAACAGCTATGGTCAACCTCTAAAAATTAGTGCAAAAAACATTTTGGCCAAACCAAGCAACACACCCCATAATTGTTGAAGAAGCACTAAATAATAAGGTTTCTAGAATTAAGTTTTTTAACTTATTACTAGAAATTTTGCATGTTCTGTCTCCCAATTTATTTTTTCCAGCCTAATCTGGTATCATATTGCTGTCTATGAAATGAAAATTTAATATCCAAAGATACATGTGAAGGGATAGGTAACATAAACATTTTTCTCTTAAGATTCTTTGTTTCCATGACAGGTATTATAACATTGGCAGACATACTTTTCCCTTATTTTTTCCAAGTTTTTTTTTTAGAAAGTCTAAATGAAACTGAATTGTTTACAGATGTTATGAGTAACAATGCACTGTGCTATGAGTAGTATAAATCTAACATTTAGATCCTGGAGCTTAACTTAAAAATAAATCCCATTTGTTTTGCTTTCAATAGCAAAGAAACATTTGTTTGCATAGGACTTCATGAAGGTGACCCAACTTGGAAAGAGAACTATTCACTTTGGCCATGGGGTTCTTGTGACAAATTGGTTTCTTCAGAGATTGTATTCAACCCTGAGGAATGGATTAAGCTTACTAGAAATATGTATAACTGGACTGAAGAATATGGGAGGTATGAACAATTTACATTTTGTTTAGGTGGTTGTTTTATATGCCTGAAATAACCTTAAGTGTTGTCATATCTTGTATTTTCCATTCAATCAACATAAAACTTGTATCTATGTCACATAGGGACAGAAGGGCCCATTCAATCAATCTTTACCTTTAGACTTCTGCATTTCCAGTTCAGTCTGAAATGAAGTATCCAGGTTGGCCTCTATTAGTTGACCAATTTAGAAGCTTGGAGACCTAGAAACTCCATTTTTACCGTCCGCCTCTGTATGATGACTGCTTTGTCTTCATGAAGACCATCAGTAATCTAGAAGATAGCCCAGAAACTGATGTGCCTAGCTGCCCCAACAAGAATTATACAAGAAGCAGGATAATGATGTGGGTATTTGTCCCAGGGAATACAGGATATACAGATATTCCCTGCTCTTCGGCATAATCTGTAGCATTTCACTTTGGAGGGCAGAGCAAGAACAGTAGTAGGAATGTTAGGGCAAAAAATGATTGGGATGAAAATGACAACACATGGTCCCAAAAGAGTGCAGCACGAGGTGGCTTGGATCCTCTCTCTGATGGTGCAGTCTAGAGCATGGAACAATAGCAGCAGCTGGAGCATTTGTTTATGTATGGGACCTTTCTTTCTGACTTTGACAGAAAGGTATATTCCTAGCAATGGAAATTGTGGATCAAAGGGCACAAACATTTTAGTCAGTTTGTTAGCATAATTCCAAGTTGTTTTTCAAAATGGTAGACCAATTTACAGCTTCTCTTTTCCCAAAACCCCTATTATATTGACTATTTCCATCTTTTGTCACCTTAGCCAGTTTTCTGGGTATGAGGTGATACTTCAGGGTTGTTTTGATTTGCACTTCTCTGATTAATGATTTGGAGCAGGCTTTCAGATGGTTGTTAATAGTTTGCCATTTTTCTTTTGAAAACTGTTTGTTCCTATTATTTGACCACTTATCCATGGAGAAATGGCTCTTGGTTTTGTATGTTTGTTTTAATTCTTTCTATATCTTGAACATCAGACCCTTATTAGAAGCACTTGATGCAAAAATTACTTCCCAATTAAAAGTTTCTCTCATCTTTGCTGCTTTGATTTTTATTTCTGAAAAAGTTTTCAGTTTCATATGATCAAAATTATTTATTTTATCTTTTGTGATTGTTCTGTTCTTTTATTGGTTAAAAACTTCTTCCTGGCCATAGGTGTGAAAAGCACCTGATCCTCTATAACTGTATTTTAATGTATAATCTAGTTTGTTGTACTGGGGCACTGTGTCATAGACACAATACACCATTAACCTTTAATGTAACTGCCAGAAACAAATTATTTTATTCTAATTATAGGTTTGACCCATCTTCTTGGGAAGCTGTAGCTAATGAAGAGATGTGGCAAGCAAGGTGATTCTGTGTTTGTATGTACTAATGATTTTAGTGTATTTTGAATAATATAGAGAAGTGGCTGATGGTACTTTTCTTCCTGGATGATAATAGTGGGTGGCAAAACTTTGTTTAATTAATAGAGCACATAAGGCAGAATTTTTTGAATATACTCTTAACTGCCTTTCAGACATATTGTATAGCATTGAATTCCACTTAGTCTCTCTCTATTTCAATTTTCCCTGCATGTCAGTAGGAGGTTTTATATCGCTCAATACTCTGTGGCAACTGAAACATAGTAGTAATGATGCTTATTTTTAAAAACTGATTTCAGATGGCACAGTCGACAGAGCACCGGCCTTGAAGTCAGGAGGACCTGAGTTCAAATCCAAATTCAGACATTTAACACTTACTAGCTTTGTGACCCAGGGCAAGTCACTTAACCCCTATTGCCTCACCAAAATGCAAAACAAGAAAAAGAAAAAAGAAAAAGAAAAAAAAAACCCGAATTCATCTTTTTTAAACCTCCTCCCATCTTGGAATAGTGATGCCCGTCTTGAAGGCATCACTATCCTCTCAGTCTTCCATACTTGAATCTTGGGAGTTATCTTTGACTCAGTTCTCTTCCCTTATCCCCTACATTCAGTCATTTGTCGAGTCCTGACAATTGCACCTTTTCTCTCATTTTCCTTTGTTTTTACTCATTTAATAATTTTTTTTTCTGAATTGAATATCTTTACAAGTTATCAGTCTAATAATAGGGGCACAAGGGGGCAAAGGTATATCGTGTGTTTAATTATTTAGTCCTGCTTTGTAACTTAATGAATTAAACTTCAAGGAGAGCTAAGCAAAATGAGTATGCAGAGCATTATTTGTATTGATTTGTGTGTTGTATGTGATTTGGAAGATTTAATGTATAAGAAGTGTATGCGCACCCTTGGAGAACTAAGTTTAATATTTGAAGAACTAGGTAGCAGTTATGATGAATGCTTCCAAAACATGTTGATTAACTGACAAGTATTCCCTCTCATTCTACTTCTTGTATGGAGTACAATTTATTTGGAAGAAGAAATCGTTTCTAATGGTCAGTTTGATTTTCTTAGCTAGCATTTTAACTTAAACTTCCATAATAATGAAAGCATTAATAGTAGTACACAGAAAATATGGTTTATGCATTCATTGCCTGTAGGATATTTTTCAGATTTATTTTTGAATGTGAAATGGACTATATTTAGTTAAGTAATTAATACCATGATTTTATTTACACATACTTTTTTTTTCTAGGATGAAAACAGCATTCTTTATCTTTAACCTTGCAGAAGCTGCTAATGTGCCAACAAATATGAAAGTACAACTTTATGCTCGTGCATATAATGTATGTTATTTTATAAAACATATTTTTGGTTTGGGAGTGGTAGTCTGGGGGACTTATATGGAATAATTTATTCTTTTCTCTTCATCCTCTCTTGCCTTTGTAGAGTGGCAAGTTTAACAGATATATGGACAAATACTCAAATATATTATTTTACAAATCAATTTTTAGGCATTAAGTGAATTTGTCAAGAACAAGTCCTACCAAACAAATGTTAATTTCCTCCTTGTCTTATTTATCTTGACTTATATACTATTGACTGTGAATATGAAATTAATTAGCATTTTTTAAGATGCAAAACAGTGGTAGTAGCTTTATTTCTAGCTGTATTCCTAAAGTTGGGCTAACTGATGCCCCAGGAGACATGACAATACTAACACTAGGCCAAGCTCTTTGTGATTGGAGTAGGGAGGACAGAGGAGAAGCTTGCTGTAGCTACAGTATTTTTTAAGGGCCTTTTTGCTGAACCATAGAAATCTGGATCTAGACTTTCCTAGCTTAAGTGGTCTAGGGACCTGCCCTATAGGAAAAGAAGATATCTTGACAATAGGGATTCCCAGAACTAGATTTGTGGAAGGTTGAGGTATTACCTATTTCCTATAAGAACAACTGTGAATCTACTCAGCTAGGATATATGGTCAGGTATTCAGATCAAGAAGAGAATTTGTTCTTTTGACTTCTTACCACCAATTGAAGGATTACACTGCGCAATTGTAAGCAGTGGTTCATTATCAAGCTCACATGTAATTATGTGATGTACCATGAAGCAGTGACAAGTATGTTGGTCTGAAAGTCAGTAAACCTCATGGAATGGTTGAGTTTCCCACCCCCCCCAGGTGATATGTGTAAAGGTCATCAGTCTTTTAATTTTAAGTCCTTTTTTTACCCCAGCAGCCACACTATGTTCTGGTTTCATCTTTGCCAGATCACAAGCTACTTGAGGATAGGGATTGTTTAATTTTTGCCTTTGTATCCCCACTGCCCAGCCTAGTGTTTGGAACATAGACGATCAACATTTAATAAATCCTTGTTGAAGGAGTGTATTACTAGTTAGTTGTTAGATAAGCCAGTTAATCCCTCTGAACTTCCATCTATAAAAAGACTAGGTGATTTATGAGATCCCCTTCATCTCATATTTTATGTTTCTGTGAAAAACAAGAGGCAGAACTGTCTTAGACCCACTGTTAATCATGTTAGTAATATGACTAATGGCTAGCTAACGTGTTTGGTTAGCGTATTATTGAAACTCTGATCATGTGTTTGATACTTCTTTGGACCAGTCAGATTTGTTTTTTATAACTGTGTGTATATTCCTGTCTGTCTGTTCTTGGGTCACAATACTAGACAAAATAATGTGAATGTTTCAGTATACACCACACCTATCACTGCTACTGGGAAGATCATTCAGAACAAATGTCTTATTGATGATGGATCAGTAGCAGCAACATTATATATAAAGGATAGCATAATTATTTACAATGACCCAGATGAAAAGGTGATAAGCGATAGAAGTCATGTTTGTTAAGTTCAAACCATGACAAACCATGGTAGGGAATAGAAATAGAAATTATCAGCATCTTAGAAACTTGGATTCAAATTCAGAGTACTTTGCTATATTGAAATGTCAGAAGTAGCAGAATATATAATAACACGCTTAGGAAAAAAAAACCTTTTCAGATACAAGATGAGAAATGACTGGCATCACATAATGTGGAAGATAAATTTCACTGAATCTCAGAAGAAAAGCAAATTATGAATTAGCAACAAAACATAGTTTAAAAGAATAATATGGTGTGATGGTGCAACAGAGATCATGGCATGTAGAACTTGAGTTCTTCATTCTCTTGGGCAGTTGGTGAATTTTTTTAACTTGGAGAAAGTTCATGGAAGAGTAGCAAAGGTAACTAAATGTTTAGAGAAAAAAAAACCTATAATAAAAGGATAGAAGAGCTTTGATTATTTCACCTAGAAAAAAGAAGCTAAAAGTTTACAAAATAATGGTCTTTATGTAAAGGAATGTGTATAGTGACCATTCTCTCTTCCACTGACTGAAAACTAGAAGAAATTAGCTTAAACTGCAGAACTAAGGATTTAAGTTAGTTGTGAGAAACAAACCTTCAGTCAACCTTCAGTTCTAATGTTAAACATTAGAATAACTTGTCAAAGGTGGATTATAGATGTTTTTCTGGAGTTAGAAGGTCCCTAGTTGGTCTGGTTTGGCTTAGGGTGAGTGAATGTAATAATCTGTTAGGGTCCCTTCCATCCCAGTAATTCTGTGAATGTTGCCCTATGCAAAAATAACACCTTCCCCCTGGCAAAAGTTTTTGCTTTATATTTTAGCCAGTTTAATGATAAGTTCAGGCTCTTGGTAAATGTAAATATTTACATGGAGGCCCTGTTTAGGTTATGAAATCACTAGGCAAGCAAGTATGGTTTTTTGCAGATTTCTATCTGACATTTGTTTGTTAGATTTTAGTTGTGCCTTTCTTCGGTTTCCTCTGGAAAACCCAATTATGTGAGATCTGTTGTACCTCTCAGTAGACATAATATCTCTGGTGCTCAAAATCTGAGTACTTGAAGGGCAAATAACTCAGAATTAGAAGATAGTGTCAACCTGAATTTTAAAAAAATGTAAACTTATTGCTTTAAAGACACAAATTTGAATGTTGTACCTAAAGACAATATTAAAATTGTGAGTTTGTTGAAAGCTAATATGGGAATATGCTTTTTTTAGAAAAAACCCACTTTTAAAAAATAAACCAACTGTAAAGGATATTTTTTCCTCTTAACAGCTAAATTTAGAGTTTCCAACCTTTCTGCCTGTTGAGTAAATAGCTTTCCATGAATTACAGCTAAATCCCTTTCCCAGAACATCCTTCTGGAGGATGAGCATTCTGTTCTAACACAGTGTGCCTTAGATTTCCCCTAGCAGTATCCCAAAAAGCCCAGAAGCAGTTTTATATGAAACATATTTGCCACCTGTTAACTGTGACAATTACAGTAACATCTTCACATTTTCTGCATCATGCAGCAAGCATTAGATTTTATTGGTTTCTTGACTTTGTTGATATGTATGCTATCTATGCTTTCTGGGTTTCTTTTAAGTTTAAGAATTGTTTCTCATGCAATGAAATATTAAATACGCACTTTTTTTCAGCTATATAAGGAAATTGTATATCTACAAAAGAAACATCCAGCAAATTGGCACAAGAACTATGCCATTGCGTGTGAAAGAATGCTTCGTTTTCATGAAATCGATGTGAATCCTGAATTCCTGTTATCTGAGACTATCAAACATTTCCACCTCTATGTGGAGAAAGTGCAGGATGATCCGCAGCGGGCTGACATTTTAGAGGCTCTGAGGCACCTCAGAAGGGAACTGCAGGGACTAAGAAAGACCAGAAGAGCCTGAAGCAGCAGCATGTGAAAGAACGTGCCTGCCATCTCGACCTGAGAACTATCCAACTTTTCTTTCCATTCCTAAAAAAGATATTTTTAAGGAAGCAGAAATGCCAACGATAGTTTCTAGAAATAACGAAAGCAGTAATGTGGTAACCTGTCTTAAGATGCGGAAATGTTCCCTGTGTCTTTTAGTGATGTGGGTGGGACCACATGGAAAATTGTTCTGTGTTATCAGAAATGAGAATTTCAGAGAAAATTGCTGGAAAATCTTGTTAAAATTATCATGCAGAAAATTATTCTATGTCTTATAGGAATCTAAGGTAGAATTAACATTCTCCCTATTTTCATATCCTTAAACTTATTCATTTAGAACTCAGGAACCTTGTTTCCCATGGCCAACTTGACAAGTTTACATATTTAAAAAGAAATCCTAAGACTTTTCTATTTCTTGCCAGCAAATTTTGAACAGAAATAAGAGTCAGCATGCAACATTTTTTCCTTTCTTTTTTTCTCAAATCACCTGGTTGTTTGCACAGAACTTCTGTAGCTCTGGGCTAAATCCCAGTCTGATGATACTCTGATAAAAGTCCAGTTGCTATTGTCTCATCTTAGGTGGTGCTTTCAGATTTTCAAACAAGAAAAGCTGATTTGGTGTTCACTTGTCTCAGTTGCATGAATTGCTTGGCATTTAAACACTTTCCCATTTTCCTAATTCTTTTAATATTTGTGTTTTATCTCTGTTTGTACTTTCAGACTTGCCAGATAGTCCTAATAATTAGTTAAACTTACGCTGCCAAAACTGCAAAAAAAAAAAAAAAAGATTATATAAATTGTGTTACAAGCATCTTCTATAGATATTACTAAAGAGAACGTACTAAGAAATGCAAATAATGGTTCTTTATTTTATTATGACAGTTAATTAATAGCAACCTGTTTTAATGAATAAAGTCACTTAGAGTCCTTCAGCACTTCCTAAGTAGAGGCCAGAATCGGTAGGGATTCTTTCCCCCCCAATTGTATAGCTCTTAGACTCCAAGCACTATATAGGCCCCTGTATAGAAATGCTCACTAATGAAGAGGGAGGGCTAGAAGCTTGTCTGCATTCAAAGATCACTGGTGAGTCATTCAGCAAGAAAAGGCCCCTTACTAGGAATAGTCACAGTTCCGTGGCATTGTACTAGCAGAAGGGTCTGATCAAAGGTCTCCTGTGGAGCTTGCATGGTTCCCTTTCATACTACGACCATAATTAAAACCACTAATTCTCTTTTAAAATGCTGCAGGATGCCATGTAGGCATCTGTCTGGAGTGTCCTTTGTGATGTCATAAGCTGTTAAGGACCAGTGCCGAGGGCTTTTGAGTGAAATGCCAGTCATGAAGGTGCTTCAAGACAAGGGTGCCTCTAAAGGCTTGACAGGGCCTTGACTGCACAATTCGAGCTGAATTTGCCCCCTTGTCAGCTGCCAGTAAATAAATCTCAAAGGGGGAAAAGCTGAAGTTTCATTACCTGATCCATGGGGCTTTGTTGGTTTTGGCATCACACAGGGGAAGCTCTTGCCCCTCCATTCTGTGGATTTGAAGATGTCCATTGGAGCCTGCAGAGCCTGGATAGGGTTCAGAGCAGAACCTTTTGAAGAGTGTCAATAGTTGTAACAGTTCAGCTGTTAGGAAGACAAATAAATGGAGGAGCTCATTAATCCGCTTTTGGCTCTCAGTGCCTTTTGCCCTTTTATCACAGCCCTATTAGGCTCCTACTCATCTTGAACCAGAAAAAAATGAATTGAAGTTGTTGAGTACTAATTGGCAAAGACTTTTAATCATGGGCCAAGAACTTTCACTGACTTGAAAGTAACTTCTCCACAGGGAGGAACCCAAAATCTGGTTTACCCTAAAACAAAAACCAGTTGGAGTTCAGTGTAGTATAAAAATTTAAGGAAGCATTGATAAATTGTCTAAGTTTATCCACTTGAAAGAAATTATGTATGTGATTACAATTTACACTTTTTAAAGCGGAAATAAATACAATTTTAAAATTTGTTTTCCAGGAACTCATTGTCATTATTGGCTTGAATGTGAAGAAGATGTGTATATTTGATGCATGTGTATAAAAGAATGTTTCCTGTTTACACTGTAAGGAATGGTAAATGAAGGCCATATTTTTGAGTGTCTTGCTATTTTTTTGGATACATTTCCATATGCCTTTGATATTTGATCTTATAATTGTACTTAAATCTATCTACAACATCTGATGAGTAGATATGTAGCAAAGGGAAAGAAAGGACTTTTATAAAATGAGATGATAAAAAGTAGATGTGCTTCAATGATTTAACACCATTGGCATATAAAATTAAAAGGTGACTGTGTAATGGGTATGAGATTTAGGAATGCTAGGCTTCATTCCCAGTTCTAGTACTTGGAAGAGCTCCATACCATCTTGTAAAGTTGGGCAAATTGCTTTTGTTTTTCCTGATTTGTCTTTTCTCTGTCACTATATCTTTAACACTATGAAATCTGACAAAAGAGACTTCCCTATAGTGTACTATCCCATGCATTGCAGAAAAGTGAGGGAAGGTGACTTCCTTTTGTGAGATTTTGGCCAACATTTTCTGAACAGCATCCTGGGAGCAGAATGGGTTGGCAAGGCTATAGAAACCCCACAATGCCAACTTCTGCCTGCACTTTGGCCTTAGGAGCACAGGAAAGTCAGACATACTGTCAGTATGCTCCACTGTCCTGCTGCCTTCAGAGTGAGGCTGTCATGATAAGACTGCATGGCAGACAGAGGAGGGGGTTGCAGCTTCCCATATTATCTCCCAAATCACTGGGGCAACAGTTCAATCTGCTGTGTACTGCCTACTCTGCCCCTCCATTACTACTCTGCTGCATGAAACTCTTAGTTCCAAGTATCAGCTGCCATTAAGTCTTGGTAGTTGTTGACGTTGCCTGTGAACTCTTAGAATATTGCTTACTTTGCCTTCCTTTTTTTTTTTTTAAGGGTACGTTTAAGCCAGGGAGCCCTTGTGCCCTTTTAGACAAAACACTACACTATCAGTGATATTTTTAATTGAAAAATAGAGAATGTTGATGCTCATATTCATTTATTCCTGGTAAGAAAAATATTATATTTAATAGTCTGTTGAATGTGAACCTCTGCTTTGTGTTAGATTGTTTTTTAAATAACAAAATAGACAAGAGACAATATGAGTTTTTAGCCATAGTTCCCAACAATGATACTTAAACAGAGCATGCTTCTAACAGGCCCATGAAGAATGGAGGATTTGTGTTAAAACATGATAAAAGGATCTTGTGGAGTCATATCCACTTAGTGTATTTTATTATTATTTATTTTATTATCTATATATGTATGGAAACATACATCACTTTTGTTAGGGTCACCTATACTGATTTTTCAGACTGATACCAAGGCATCTGGTTTTTTATACAAGATATTTGAATTTCATAGGATAGACAATTTGCATTGATCATCTTCATACTTGTTATAGAGTCAAAAAGGTGCTAACATTTACAGAAAATTCTGGGAACATTTGTTAAAAGACAAGATTTTGGCATAGCATCAGAGCAAACATGGAGCTAAGGCTTCTGCCATGATTCTGATATTAAATGAAGATATCATTGTCAGTACCATCCAAAGGTCTGTTTGAATATGGATCAGCATGGGAAGTCTGAATCAAGCACCCGAAACAGCGGTTTTTTTTTTTCCTAGATAACCGAGAGCAAACACAGGGGGAAAATACCTTGAGGCCTGTGGTTTTCTTTGGAACAGTGTTCTTCTGACTGCTTTTCAATTTATCAGCCTACATTTAGTTAATCTTTAAAATGCAATTAGGTATGATGAAAAACACTAATTTATCTTGAATTAAAGTAACAATTTCATAGATTTGCAAGGTGGAGTGATGATTCTAGATAGCTCACCAATAATTGCTAGCTTGGAGCTCCTTGTAAATGGAAGTTCCCTGGGTCTTTTCTGCATCATTTACTAAGATTTAGTTTCATTAACATTATGGTATTCTCAGAGTTGAAGTAGGGAGGTTGAAGGAAGTTCATAGCATGGAGGGCACAGTTGGACCTCATTGCTATCCCCATGATCCATCATCACAAAATATTCCTTAAATGTCTCTGCTAGTATGGAGAATCCACTATATACACTGTTTTAAAAATAGCTGTTTTGTTTAATAGTGTTTTTCATATAGATATGTAGAAAAAACCACAGTATTCAACATTTAGTAACTTTATTATTTGGATTTTGTTATTAATAAAAATTTGAAGTGGGTGTTGTAAAAAAAGCCCATTTTATCAAATCTTAATTTGTAATATGATACCATCTTCAAAATTTAATAAAGCTTTAATAGTGTGATGTTTTGATGGTTAATTGGTTCTGTGACCTCATTGACGTAGGACTCACTAGAAGAAGGTAGATCACAATTCCGCCATATCTTCTTAATCTTTGTGACTCTTGTCCACATCATTGCATAGGTTGTCCACAAAGGATCAATCTACCCAATGTGCTGGGGGGCCTACAAATGGGTTTCTGTATTATGAGGGCACCACCAGGGCAACAGATAGTTATTTCTTGCTATAGCTACATGCCCAGCCCTCCTTTTCTAGTCAGACTTCTCTTTAATGTTAGTTTCTATTATTCTAAATGGGATCATAGATTTAGAATTGGAAGGGACCTTAAAGGTCATTAAATCCAACCTTGCATTAGATCCAGAAACTGAGGCCCAGAGTTCAATTATTTGCTCAAGGACACATGGTTGATGTCTGAGGCATAGTTTCAACCCAAGTCTGCCTGACAAATCTTACACCCTATCTACTACACCCCACAGTGCTGGTAAATGCTAGATGCAACCTATATATGCCATCGAGAAGTTCTCCATTGCCCTTTGAAGGACCTGTAGTTTTGATTCTCCAGAGATGTATGATATTCTGTGATTCATAGCCATCTTTGGAAGAAAATTAGCATTTTAAAGCTAGGATTTTGTCTTTAGGGAGAAGCTGGGTATAATACAAAAGGTTGCATAATTTCTCAGATATAATATGTCTTTCTCTCTCCCTCTTACTCAATTCTGGACCTATGGAATTCATCAGCCATGTGCAATGTCTGACCAAAATATGCATATTGATGCACCAGCTCAATAATCTATCCAGCTACATGTCATAGTCTAGACAATAGAAATTCTTTGTTTTTTCCTGTTTGGATTGTCAGACCAAACTCTTTTGAATGATTGTAGATCTCATTAAGGAGGTTCTGCAATGTTTTGAGACTAGAGTATCTTTAAAAGATTTTATCATCTATATGACATCCCTTTTCCACCTGGTCTCTATGCTGGCTGCCCTCCATGACAGTGACAAATACGTTTGGTAAACATTTGTCACTGTTTTATAGTTTGATATTAATAATAAGATTTTTTCAGACAAAATTATCTCTGCTCTCTCTTGTTAAGAAGCTTCATACTATAGAGAAAAGAGGACTGTACTTGGGATTGGAAGAGATCCAGATTCAAATCTTGCCTCAGACATTTACTAGCTGTGTGAGAATTTAGACTCTTCTGGTCTCCGTTTCTTCACTTGCAACATATAGATAGGAATACCTATTGAACTTGTCTCATAAAGTTATTGTGAGATAATCTATAATTAAGGCTAAATGAGATAAACTACATATAGCACTTCACGAACCTTAATGTGCTATACAAATGTCAAGTGTTATTGTTGCATATTTCAAGGAATTTTGTATGGTTTCAACATGTACATGAGAGACACACTTTTGGAGGAGAACCTTTGAGTTGTCACTTTAGTCAATCTAAAAGCATTTTTAAGTGCCTACTGTATTTCAGGCACTGTGCAGCACTGGGTATATAAAGAAAGCAGTAGTATCTGCCCTCAAGGAGCTCACATTCCAGTGGAGTAGAAAACATGTAAATAACCAGGGAAGCTAAGAGATGAAGGTGAGGGGGTAGAACATTGCAGACATGTGGATTGCCAGTGCAAAGCCATGTTCAAATGCTTTTTAAAAAATAAATATTCAGACAGTAAGTACAATGAAATCTTTTGTTTTCTATACCTTTCAGTCAATTGTGTTACTTAAAAAATATGGTCTGCTGTAAATTATAATTTGCCAGAGTCTACATGTTTTCTCATCTTTCCAACAAGGTTGCCCCTTTATCCATGTGTAGATTATTCTCTTAAAGATTTTGCTGAGATGGTAGAATAGGCATCAATGAATCAAACATTTATTATGCACCTAGTATGTGTTAGGAACTGGATAACCTAGTATACGTTAGGGGTCCAGCTACAAAAATAAAACAATCCCTACTCAAGAGGAATTTGTATTCTAGACAAGTACACATATACAGAATAAATATAAAAAGAAGAGAACAGTTAAATTTAGGTAATTTGGGAAGGAGGGAGGGAACTAGCATTTGAAGGAACCAAGAAGTGTTTTATTTTGAAGGTGGTACTTGGGTAGTATCTGGAATGGAGAGGAGGGAAACAGGAATTTGCAGAAAATGAGTTTTGAGAATGATTTGTGAAAAACAGCAGTTGGGAAAGGGGAGCATTCCAGGCTTAGAGGACAGTCAATGCAAAAGTATGTGAATTAGTTATTGATGTCTTCTAGATCACCTTTGGGTTTTTTTTGTTGTTTTGGTAGTAATAAGGTCCATTCATTCACTATTCTCCCCTTTTTAGATACTTCAGAATCACTCTACAACCCTTCCTCTCTCAAAATTGTGTCACCTGCAACATGGCCTTCTGCTGTATATACTTGATCTAGTTCACTTGTTTTGCCCTGTTCCTTTTTTCCCATTAGTACTGTTCTTAATCCCTTTTGTGATGTATCAGGGACTGTGATGTTAGAGTCCAAATATGATGGCTCCACTGTCATCGATGCAGAAAATAGTTTCTTATAGAAATAGAAACAGATTTTCCATTTTCTTTTTCATTTGTTCTCTCATTTTTATCCTTAAATGTCCTTGGAATGATTTGGCTTCATTAGGTATATTAGCTTAATGGATAAGCTAGTCAGTAC